CCCAGTGGATGTCCCGACCCGAGGGACTAAGTAAGAAAGGAGACTATCAGCTGCTTGTCTTCCCTGGCTCAGACCCTTTTGCTTTTATGCTCAGTGTGGTATCAGGAGATATGAAAGTCAGCTCTGACCGCTGCTCAGTAAGGCATTTTAAGCTTCACGAATACCCAAGGAGAGAGCAAATTCTTTGTCCCTGGAAAAGTGGTAGGGCTCACACATACCTGAGCTTTATTTAGCCCTCTGTCTTATACAGAGGGACAGACAGATTAGCCCATAGCCTAAACATTTCCCTTTCTTTCAGATGATATGATTTATAGTTTGCACCCCATGTTGTGCTCTCAAGGAAATATCCTTTTCAATAGCTCACTGTTGTTTATGTTTGAACCACAGATAGCATAAACCTCTGGGCAGCAGCCCCATGTTCCGGAGCAGATCAGCTGGCAGGGACAGCTGTTCTTTAGCAGGGGGTTGGGAAAGACGTTGACTTTAGTTCAAAACTAGGAGAGGGCCCTGACCTACCCACCCCTTGAGGTCTCTACTAGTGCCCACCCACCTCCCCCACACGTACACCTTACAACCTGGTCTCTGCCTGCCTGTTCCTCTACTCCTGTCACCTTGCAGGAGCTGACATGGACGTGTGCCTTACAAACTATGGTCACTGTAACTACGTGTCCGGGAAACATGCCTGCATATTCTACGATGAGGTGAGGGAAGCTCTCCCAACCTGAGGCCTCTCCCAAGCTCTGCGTTTTTGTTCAGCTCCCCCATGGTGAGGGGCAAGGGGTTGGGGGGTCCTCTCCTCTCCCTGTCATCCTGGGAGAAGAGGAGCCTTGGTGCGAAGGGCATTCTACCATGGCTCCCTGCTCCTTAGGAGCAAGGCCACCATTTCCCCTGAGGTTGGTCACAGGCTCAGCAGGGAGAGCCCAAGCAGGGAAGGGGACCAGCATAAGGAGGAAGGAAGGCAAGCCCACTGGGTATGACCCTGTGCGTTTAATCATCTCATGTGCCAGTGATTTCAACAGGAGCCAGTGCTGAAGAGGCAGAGTAAAGGAGGGGTGGGAGAGCGGGGTTGGGGGTGCTAGGAAGGAAGGCTTCCCCGAGGAGGTGAGGCTTGAGCCCCAGTCATAAGAAACAGGGAAGTAGGGCATGATCAGGGAAGAAAGAGAGCTTCCCAGGCAGAGCAGCACGGCCTTCTCCATGTGTCCTCTCTCCCCTTAGCCCCAGGCCCCACGCAGCAGACCACACATCTTATCTTCCCTCCTCCTCCTCAGAATACCAAACATTATGAGCTGTTAAACTACAGTGAGCACGGGACAACGGTGGACAATGTGCTGTATTCATGTGACTTCTCTGAGAAGACCCCGCCAACCCCCCCAAGCAGTATTGTTGCCAAAGTGCAGAGTGTCATCAGTAAGTTGGAACAGAGGCCTGTGGCCACAGAGCCTGCCATTTTTGGACACGTACTCCAAGGCCCTGGTCAGAGTGGTTCTGGCTGGCTGCCAGTGACAGACATGCTGTATCTTGCCTTCCCAGCCCTCTTGGCCAGGTTCTTGCTCGTGGGCCTAGGGAAGGCCATGGAGAAGCAAGGGCTGTGTACCTGCTTATATACACATGTGTTTGGGGACTTCAGACTCCACCAGTCAGTCCCTTCTGAGCGTCCCTCACTCCAGTCATGCAGCAGTTAAAATGGGGAGATGCAGGGGCCCAACCCTGGCAAACAGCCCAGATGGGTGGGCTGCTCACTGTTCTTCTCTAGTGACCATCTCCTTTTTTCCCAGGGCGCCGCCGGCACCAGAAACAGGACGAGGAGCCAAGTGAGGAGGCAGCCATGATGAGCTCCCAGGCCCAGGGGCCACAGCGGAGACCCTGCAACTGCAAAGCCAGCAGCTCGAGCTTGATTGGGGGCAGTGGGGCCGGCTGGGAAGGCACGGCCTTACTGCACCACGGCAGCTACATCAAGCTGGGGTGCCTGCAGTTTGTCTTCAGCATCACTGAGTTTGCGACCAAACAGCCCAAAGGCGATGCCAGCCTGCTGCAGGATGGGGTCTTGGCCGAGAAGCTCTCTCTCAAGCCCCACCAGGGCCCCGTGCTGCGCTCCAACTCTGTTCCCTAGGACTGGTGGCTACCCCGTCACCCGCCTGTCCATCCAACCCAAGACTCCTGCAATGCAAAAATGTACACAAACCAAGCCCGGGTTTTTTTCTATACTCCACCAGAAACCCTTTAACTACAATCTTTGCATGAAATGAAGAAAAACCTTTTGACTGTTTTTTAAAAATCCTTTTTCTTTTATCAAGTTCTAGGGGGCATTTGCACATATATTTGTACTCAACATTTCATGGGAAAGCGGCAGACCCGAGCTGAGGAACAGCGTGGGCAGGGAGGGGAAGGCCAATGGTCTGGACACTTCCTCCAACACACAACCGTTCCCCACCCACCCCCTGCTCCCTCCCCCTCGCCCGCCGTTGTAAAATAATCAGAAACTTGTTCTATTTTGTGGCAGTGACAATAGTTTTATATTAAAAGAAAAAAATACAGTTTTCATACAGCAAAATCTATACAATATCATTGTTTTATTTAATATAAAGATCGCTACCCACCCTCCTTCCATGGTTCCCACCCTCCAAGTTTTTTTCCCTTTCTGCAGCGGTTGCACTACAGGTAGCTACTGTGTATTATGGACAAATGAGAATTCTTTTTCTGGCTGTCCATCTATTTTATTTCAAATAAGGAAAAGTGTATTTGGATTTTGTGTAAATACATCTAGTGATGACATTTTTTCAATGTTTTTAAAAACTGTACAGTACTACATGTGGTAGCGCGTTTTCTTCAAATTGTCTATTGTAGCAAAAACGTTTTTGTCGTAAACCTGTTTTGTCTCCTTTTTTTGTTCTCTTGCCACTTCTCTCCTCTTCCTCCCACCCCTGGCTCCCTTCTCTCCTCCCACACCCACAACTAGTACCAATGTACATAGTAATTGTAATGTTTTAGACTTTACAGAAACTTTCCTGTATTCTGTATATAAAAAAACAAAAATACTTCAAATTATGTTTTCTGCCTGTCTGTCCTACCTGTCATCACTTTTGGAGGAGACCCTCCCCAAGATCCTGGTCCCACAGTCTCATGGGACAAGTCTTGTTCCCCAAGGGAAGTCAGGAGAGGGGAGGTGTTGGAGAAAAGTGAGCCTAAGGTGTGTGTGGGGGTAGAAGTGTATCCACTAAGGGGCTGTTGTGTGGCTTTGGGTGACTTGAGGGAGGTTAGAGGGCTTGATCACTTGACATCAGATTCTGCAAGATTCCAAGAGTGTGCAAGTCCCTGCTCCTGTTGGCTCTGAAACCAAGACATTAAAATGAGCTGGCCTGAGACCTCTACAATCTGATCAGAAGCTTTAATCTGAGGATTTGGGGCTGCCTTTGGTTCCAGTTGTTTGCTATCATATTTTATTCATCTATTCTGGGAGAAGTCATAACACCTGGTTTTGTCCCTTCTCTGTCAGCCTTAGCTGGGCGTGGAGCAATTTATTTATTCAAGTATCACTTGACCCTTCTCTTTTCTGTGCCTGGCCCTTGTTAGGACATGGGTTTTGGGCTAAGTCACAGACCTTACGTGAAAAACTCTCCGGGAAGTTTGACTCCTTAGGTAGAGCGCACCTGTGTTTATCACAGCACTCCCAGGTAGGTGGTACCTGTTGGCCTGTCAGGATTTTGCTTTAGGGATGGAGGGTGCATCCATTTGTTTAATACTCCATCCCCAGCCTCATCCCACAGCATCTATTAATACAATTGAACCCTGAATCCACAGTGTAGCTAAATAGGAAACTCCCAGGAATCCCCATGTCCCAGGATTTCACCTACCCATCTAGCTTTGCCCTGCCCAGATGGGCCTCGAACTCCTTAAGGGCAGAAATATATGTTGTTTGGCTCCATATTTCTAAGGCTAACTGCACTGCTGGGCACACCATAAATGCCAAACAATGGATACTAAATTGTGTTGGATTTCTCAGGCAAGGTCCTGGCAAGTCACCTGGCCAGGAATACCCTTACCCCAATGGCTCCTTAGCTGTCCCCACCCACCTTGCCATCATAGTCACTTCCATTGACTGATGGAGCTTCTTTACCCATTTCTACCGCCTGTGAGAACCATTCCAGAGGCGAATTTTCCTTTGGAGGTCAGATAAATGTTACACACTCCCTGCTTCCCTTCAGAAATGAAGGGGGTGGGGAGCACGGGCAGGAAGATATATGATTGAATCCCCACAGCCCTTAACTGATGGTGCCACCCTGAACACACTGACTGCATCATTTCTCTGGCCTTGATGGGAAGAACAGGAAAGAATCCTAGAAGCTGAGGGTGGAATGTGAAGACAGGAATGTAAGGACTTGTTTATGGAGGGCAAGGAATCCAGGACTGAACTTAAGACACAACAGCATTCATGTACATGCACCTCTCCAGAAGGGAAGGACTCTTACATACTCGTACTGACACCAGAGGACTCACATACCCTGTTAGCCTCTCCTGTAAGCCCTCACTCAGCTCTAGGGCGCCACACAAAGGACAGATACATCCGATGTTCATTCAAGCGCACACACAGGCAGAAACTACAAGATGCATGCACACACCTGGAGGGGCTCCCAGTGACTTGGACGCAAACATGTAAAAGGTGCTCACACAGGATTCAGAGGCACGAACACAACCTGAAAGGTGATCCCAGGGCCCATTGGGCACATTACACACCAAAAACTCATTCACACACACGGTATATAGATGCTGTACAAACCTAGAAGGCACTTCCAGGGTGCCCGTGCGCACATACACGCATCTAGAACGAGTTAACGCAGGCACACACCTAGAGGGCGCTCCCAGGGCCCAAATGCACACACGCCCCAAGATGTTCGCACGAGCACACAAGGACACAGACGCACGCCTAGGGGGCGCTCGGGCCCACGCGCACAGGCACGCACACACACCCCTGCCCTGCCTCCCGCCAGCCTCCGCCTCCGCCTCCGCCTCCGCCTCCGCCTCCGCCTCCGCCTTCTGGAGATCCAGGCTCGCCCGGCGCCCTTCCAGGCTGGTGCCTGGCGGATCCGTAGCCGCTGGGCGGCGATCCCAGGCGGCCTGGGACCTAGGCGGGAGCCTGGAGGTGTGGCCGTCATGGAGGCGCTGCTGCTGGGCGCGGGGTTGCTGCTGGGCGCCTACGTGCTTGTCTACTACAACCTGGTGAAGGCCCCGCCGTGCGGCGGTATCGGTAGCCTGCGGGGCCGCACGGCAGTGGTCACGGGTAAGTGTGAGCGGATGAGTTGTGGGGAGGCCGGGGCCGCGGGGGCCCACCTCGCTCAGCTGGGCTCCCTCCCGCCCTCCGCAGGCGCCAACAGCGGCATCGGGAAGATGACTGCGCTGGAGCTGGCGCGCCGCGGAGCGCGTGTGGTGCTGGCCTGCCGGAGCCGGGAGCGCGGTGAGGCGGCCGCTTTTGACCTCCGCCAGGTGAGGGAGGGCGGGGACGGGTGGAACGGTGAATAGAGGGCAAACACACCCGGACACAGGTGGGTGAGGAAAGCAGCTCTAGGGAATTCAGCCCCGGAGAGGAGAGTGCGCCTTGGTTCCTTAAGTGGGGAAGACGGGGTGCACTGGTGTTCTAGTCACACAGGGAAGGAGCACCAGACCCAAGCTGGGAAATGGGCTTCCTGAAGGAAGTAATTGCTGTTCTAAGACGTTTAAGGATTGTTAGAAGTTACATTAATGAAAGACAGTAGGGGAGGGAACAGCAGGGGGAACAGCATGTGCAAAGGCCCTGAGGCAAGAAAGCTAGCTTGATTTAAGAAACTGAAAAAAGGGGGAAAAAAGGTTTAATTAGGCTGGCTGGAGCACAGAGTATGGGGGAAAGAAGTGAAATGAAGGGGCTGTAGGTCCTGAGCCAGGGCCAGGTTCTGGAGGCCCTTATAGGCCTTATTGAGGAGCTCGGATTTTATAGGATGGGCAGTGGAGAGGCCAGTGAAGGGTCTTCAGCAGGCTCTGGACTGTCAGAATAGCCTTTTAGAACCATGAAGCCTGTGTGGTGCCTGGACTGTAGGGGCTAAGAGTGGGTGAAAGGAGACCAATGAGAAGTCTGTTGTAGATTTTAGGATAAGGCAAAGAGGATGATGATGATAATAACAGCAAGTACCTACACAGTGCTTGCTGACTGTGTGCTAGGCACTGTTCTAAGTATTTTACACATATTAACTCGTTTAATCTTCACAACTCTATGAGATAGGTACTGTTAGATGAGATAAATACTATTATTATTCTTCCCATTTCACAGTGAGAGAAGTGAGGCCCAGAGAGCTTAAGTATCTTGCCCAAGGTCACACTCTAGTAAAAGGCAAAGTCAAGATTTACATCGAGTTCACACACTTATCCACATCATTCTAATGCATAGGGGCAGATCTTAGTAATGTTAGGAAGTAGACTGTCAGTGCCTGGGAGGAGGGAAGAAAGGAGAGGTGCCTGGTGACAAGCCCAGCCCTTGCCCGCTCCACAGGAGAGTGGGAACAATGAGGTCATCTTCATGGCCTTGGACTTGGCCAGTCTGGCCTCCGTGCGGGCCTTTGCCACTGCTTTCCTGAGCTCTGAGCCACGGCTGGACATCCTCATCCACAATGCCGGTGAGGGGCAGCANCCACTGCTTTCCTGAGCTCTGAGCCACGGCTGGACATCCTCATCCACAATGCCGGTGAGGGGCAGCATGCCCAGCGGGGGGGCGCGGGGGGGGCGCGGCAGTGGGTGGCTGGGGGCAGTCGTCCCCTCCAGCCAGGCCTTGCCAAGGGCCAGTGGGAAGGATGCCCCCTACCGCCATCTCACAGATGGGGACTCCGAGGCCTATGGGGATCCCTCCAGAGTAATTGCTCACACCTAGCCCCTGTCCCAGGGATCAGTTCCTGTGGCCGAACGCGTGAGCCCTTTAACCTGCTGCTGCGAGTGAACCACATCAGCCCCTTCCTGCTGACACATCTGCTACTGCCCCGGCTGAAGACATGCGCCCCCAGCCGCGTGGTGGTGGTATCCTCAGCGGCCCACCGGCGAGGGCGCCTTGACTTCACATGCCTAGACCGCCCAGTGCTGGGCTGGCGGCAGGAGTTGCGGGCATATGCCGACAGCAAGCTGGCCAACGTATTGTTTGCCCGGGAGCTTGCCACTCAGCTTGAGGGCACTGGCGTCACCTGCTATGCAGCCCACCCAGGTAAGGCCTGTCTCTTTGGCTGCTCTGTTCTGCTTTGATTTTCCCACCCCCATACTCGCCCCATCCTGTGCTTCCCACAGCATCTCACTGAGCCACAGAATCTCAGAGCAGGAAGCAAGCATGGTCCAAGGAGAAACCTGTTCCTTGCTGATCTTGGAACCAGGCTCACCTCGTCTGGGCTCTTCCTCTCACACCACAAGCTTGGATGCTGATGACTGGGTAGGGTATGGCCATGAATAAGGCCCAGATTTTCACCCCAAGGAGCCATCCATATGACTGAGTTTACTGTAATATGATGATAATGATGAAGATAGCTAATGATTATTCATTCAAGCAGCATTTACTGAGTACCTACTATGTACCAGGCATTAGTCTTAGTGCTAGGAATATAGCAGTGAACAAAACAAGACCCTATCCTTGTAGAGTTTACATTCTAGTTTAGGGGAGGAGGAGACCGCAATAAATAAATACAGAGGGTGCCAAAAAAAGTATACACATTTTAAGCAAGAAAAAAAACTATTAAAATTGTAATACAGAATATATACCGATGGCAAAAGATGAAGACAAGTCACGTTTGACTTCTGCAGTTACAAGAGGTGCTCAAAGTAGTTACCATCAGCATAATTTTAATAGTTTTTTTCCTTTCTTAATATGTATATACATTTTTTTGACACCCTCTGTATATACAATGGTAGTTGGCGATAAAGTGCTATGGGGAAAGAGAAAACAGGGTAAGGGGAATATGAAATGACAGGGGGGTGCTGTTTTATCTATGGCAGTGAAGGAAGACACCTGAAAAGGTAACATTCGAATAGAGGCCTGAAGGAGATGAGAGAATGAGCCATGTGGCTTTCTGGGGAGAAGAGTGTAAAGAACAGAGCAAATAACAAGTGCCTGGTGTGCTTGAGAAAGACCAGGGATCCTGGTGTGGCTGGAACAGAGAGGGGGGGCAGAGTGGCAAGAGTGGAGGGGTAAAGATGGACTGGGTCATCTAGGGTCTGGAGGTCCACTGTAAGCATTTGGCTTTTAGTCTGAATGAGTCAAGGATGAATACAACGCATCCCTGCCTTTAAGGGACAGGTTACAGGATAACAAAAGCTACCCTATCCATATTACCATAGTGCATTTTAGATAGTCATTGCCTATAGCTCATTAGTAATTATAATAGTGACAATAATAATCACAACTAATCTTTTACCAAGCTTTTATTATACTCCATATCTCTCATGTCCAAGAGTGGCTGGTCTACCATAGGTGTTAATAAATGTTTGGTAGATAAACAGAGGAACAGGACTTGAGCGATAAGAAAATATGGAGAGACAGAATTGTTCCACCCAGAACACAGCATGAGCAAAATCTGGGAGATGGGGATGTACAAGGGGTTTGATTGGAGAAGAGGCTTGCTTTTGCAAATGAGTGAGGTCACCTTGTGGGGGCCCTGAATGCCTGGTAAACACTATCCTGGTTTCCCTGAAACTGGACTCTGTTCCCCACTCCCTTCTAGCCCTGTTTATGCAGCTCTTACCCTGGGCCCTCACCCACTATCCTCCCCCACTCCTTACTTTCTCCTGTCCACAGGGCCTGTGAACTCAGAGCTGTTCCTGCGCCACGTTCCCGGATGGCTGTGCCCACTTTTGCGCCCACTGGCTTGGCTGCTGCTGCGAACACCAGGAGGGGGTGCCCAGACCCCTCTGTACTGTGCTCTACAGGAGGGCATTGAGCCCCTCAGTGGGAGATACTTTGCCAACTGCCATGTAGAGGAGGTGCCTCCAGCCTCCAGAGACGACCGGACAGCTCACCGACTATGGGAGGCCAGCAAAAGGCTGGCAGGGCTTGGGCCAGTGAAGGATGCTGAATCTGATGAAGACCCCCAGCCCAAGGACCCCGGGGCCCCATCTTTTCTGAGTAGCCCTCATCTTGAGGAACCTACAGTTTCTGAACCCTACCCCAGCCCACAGAGCTCACCAGACTTGTCTAAGGTCACACACAGAATTCCAGTTAAAGCTGAACCTGAGCCCTAAGCCTCCTAATCCCCTGCTGGGATGCTTTCTGTGGCCCTTGGTGGCCCTTGAAAAACCTTAGCTGTGTGCCAAGCCATGGCCTGGCCATTGAGGGGTTTGCAATTTTTACATCCATGGTTACTTTCTGGGGCTTTAAGGTATGTTCTGGACAGCCCTTTTTCTGATGGAAGGACATAATGGATGATTATTTCTTCCTGTGAATGACAGTAAGCCCAGATTGTGAAATGCACTTGGGGGGAGGGGAATTCCAAAAAATCGCTTCTCAGGAATTTGAATTTCCTATTTCCAGGCCCCACCCTCGGTGATGCTGATCAGCTCTGGATGAGGGCCTGGGAATTTGTAATTTGATGCACTGCCAACATTAAGAAGTACGAATTGTGCCCTTTGCGACCACGTAGCTAGGTAGTTAAATTATCCCCGTTATACAAGACGGAATTAGGCAGCAGAGGTAACAGCCCGGGCGGTCTGGCTCCAGGGCCGACTGCTGTAAGGTGGGTGCTGGGGAGGCAAGGAAGGACGTTTGTTATCGAGGCGACCCGTGGGAGCAGGGGGATGCCTTCCCAGGGTGCTTCAGGGCTGGGCCCCCAAGAGCCCGTCCCGCGTGTAATAAAGCGTGTTGACTGCCGAGGCTCGCGCCAGTTGCTCCTTCTCTCGACGTGCCGGCCCCGCCCTCCGCCGCTACACTTCCGGCGGGGCGGCGAACGGGGAGGGGAGCTGGCCGGCAGCCGCTGGGGGTGGCGGAATAAGCTGGGCGCGGCCTGCAGTGCGGGCGGGTGCGGGGTGAGGGCTGCCTGCTGCTGTCCAGGTCTCTGCGGTCCCCGAGGGCCCTCCCCCGCGTCGGCGCCATGGGCAATTGCCACACGGTGGGGCCCAACGAGGCGCTGGTGGTTTCAGGTGAGGGGGCAGCGAGGGAAGTGGGTCTGGGGCGCCCAGTCCGGAGGGTGTTCAGGGCGGGGGCTCGCGTTGAGTGCAAGGTTGGGGAGCGAACGGGGAAGGATAGGCCAGCGAAGAGCTCTGGGGGTGGAGGGCAGTGCCAGGGTTGGGGGGCAAGATGGGGGCGCCGGGTGTCGGGCCTGAGGCTACCGCGTTCCGAGCCCCACCTGAGACCCTTCCAGGAGAGACCCCCATACTCATGCTGTCGTGCCCCGCACCCCTCCAGCGCCTCCAGGAGCTCCTCCCCCCACTGCGTGTTTTCCCATGTTTATCCCTTCCTTTCTCCGCCTCCTCCCTAGGCAGTGTCTCCCCTCCGTGGCCTTGGGAGTCCCGAACTGAAACCTTGAGGTTCCGGGGGGGAGGGGACCGGTAGTTCCCGAACAGGGAGTTTGGCTGGATTCCAGCGCCCCGGACTGGGGGGTGGGTCGCGTAGCTCTGGAGGGCAGATACCTGTCTGGGGAGGGGCCCTGGGACAGGGATCCTTTCTCCCAGCGTTGTCAAACCCGTTAATTCCCAGCAGGCTGGCAGGGGCTTGCTGGGATTTCCTGGCATTGCACTCCTGGGAGACGCGGGTGTGGCCTTTACAGGTTGAGAAACCGCGTTGTGGGTTGTGCAGCTCCCATTGCAAAATGCTGCAGGGTCCAGAATTTCTGTGAATTTACGTAGGACTTGGGGACTGCAATATTGGGGAGAGATTATCTTGCTTTAAGGCTGCTTTTAAAATTGTATATTTCGGTATCTTGGAAGGTGGCTGAAGCCTTTCAAAGCACCAGTTTGTGCAGCAGCCCCGGCTAGCAGGTGTTGGGGACCGAACATGTTTTCTGACAGCTTGGAGGCCTGTAGCTGCAGGAATCCTTCATGTCTTACATCCCACTCTCAATGCCAATCCCAATGCCTGTGTGCAGAGTTCTTAGGGCTGGCTATAGAAGTGGGTAAGAAGTGGGTGGGCTAAACCAGGAATTGTAGCTGCCCACCCTTGGGGAGGTCTGATAAGTCCATTGGGAACTTTTATCCCAGAACATGGCCTCTGGCCCAGTCTGGATCTCAAAATCGGTCTCTCCAGGGGGGATAGGAAATCCCCACTCTCCCTGAGCAGGATCTTACTGCTGTCTGGGAGATAAGATACTTCACCTCCCTAGAGACCTGCGATAGCTTTGGGATCTGGAGGGAGATCCCCAGAGAGCACTGAGGCCAAACTTTCACCTCTGTAAGACCTGGACTGGTCTCCCAGCCCCAACTCCTAAAGAAGGCGTTTTGAACCTGAATCTGCACTTTGATTTTTTTGTGCATTTGCTGGAAACCAAGACTGAGTGAGATAAGGAGACAAAAGCTTCAGTCCTGTTCCTTTGGAGAGCCTTAGAACTGAGGGGTGAGAGAAACCCCTGATGGGCTGCTGTGTACCTTCCAGTTGTCAAACTTGGTCCTCTAGCCAGAGGCCAATGCACTGGTACCTTGGAAGCTGTTGTAGGGATGGGGAGAGGAGGCTGTGCTGAGAATTGAGGGTGCTGGAGTCAAGGAAAGGTAGAAAAGAAGAGGGAGGGATGATATCTAGCATAATAGGATTTGAGGTGATCAAACTGAGATGCAGCTCCCTCTTGCACATAGACTCCCAGAAGACCAGAGTAACTACTCCTAGCCCTGCCCCCACCTGGTTACTTGGGCCTGCATTTTAAGTCCAGGGGCATCTCACTAAGCCCAGTTTCAGAAGAAGGATGCTGAGGACCAGCCGAGTGGCTCAGTTGGTTACGAGCTCACTCAAGAGTTTGAGCTCTGAGCAACAGCGGTTTGATGCCCGGCCCGAGCTGAGCAGCTGCTGAGCTGCCAACAGGTGGCAGGATGGCTCAGCTTAAAAAAAAAAGAAGGATGCTGATACAGCTCATGGTCATCTTGTTCACCTGAAAAGTCTAGACGTTCTTCTGATTGTCTCACTTCCCTCCTTAATTCTATAATACAAAACCTTTTATTTATTTCTATTTCGGGAATTTAAAAGGAGAATGCAAATACCATACATGTTTGTTTGTTTGTTTTTAAATTGGGGAATTGGGGGAGGGGAACAGTGTTAGGGAATCGGGGAAGGGGAACGGACAAGTTGCTGTCCTTTTGTTCTTCAGTCTAGTTGTGAAAGACGTCACTTCACTGGCCCATGTTGGTATTATCATTGCGCTCTTCCCAGGTGAGGCATATTGGTCGCTGGCCATTGGCCGCTCACGGTGGCTCTTGGCAGCTCACGCCAACTGCCGGCCATTCACAGTAGCTTTATGGCAGCCCACTGCAGCCTACGCCGTCACTGGCAACCCCCATACATCTTTCATCTCTATAATAGGTCAGAGGTTCTTAACCTAGGGTTTGTGGATAGAATTTAGAGGTCTGTGCATTTGGATGGGGCAAAAAAGTGCATTTTTTGTTTTATCTAACTTTAACTGAAATTTAGTATTTTCTATGATTATGAATGACAGCAACTGTCCATGAGGTATTAGCAGGTATTTTCCTACTATACTGCAGTTGTTGTAGTACCTTAAAAAGTCATTTATGCTGCAGGCCGGCCGAGGGGCACGTTGGTTAAGAGTTGGCTTGGGACTCCAGCTCTGAGCAGCAGGGTCCCAGTTCGGATCTCACATACGGGCCAGTGACGCTGCACCCTCTACAGCTAAGATGGTGAACAACAGCTCGACCTGGAGCTGGTCAGCTGTGAGTCACTGGCGATGGTGTAGGCTGCAGTGGGGCTGGCCAGCAGCGGGTGGGCGCTTTTGTGAGCCACCAGGAAGAGTGCAGTGATAATACCAACATGGGCCAGTGAAGCGATGTTCTCTACAACTAGACTGAAAAACAAAAGGACAGCAACTTGTCTGTTCCCCTCCCCCAATTCCCCAATAAAATCTTTTTTAAAAAAATCATTTATGCTGCAACATGGATGGACCTAAAGGATATTATGCTAAGTGAAATAAGTCAGACTGAGAAAGACAAATACCATATGATCTCACTTATATGGACTCTAAAGAACAGAATAACCGAGCAAACAAAACAGAAATAGACTCAGGTACAGAAAAAAAACTGATGGTTGCCAGATGCAGGGGGGGGGCGGGGGGGGTGAAGGGATTAGAAAGTACAAATTGGCAGTCACAAGATAGTCACAGGGGTGTAAAATACAGTATGGAGAATATAATCAATAATGTTGTAAAGATTATGTAGGGTGCCAGATGGGATCCTGGACTTAATCGGTGGGAATCACTTCATAGATTGTGTAGATGCCTGACCACTGAGCTGTACACCTAAAACTGATGTAAAATAATGTTGAATGTTAGCTATAACTATGTAGTCACAGGATGTGGAGTACAGCATAGGGAATATAGTCAATGGTATTGTAACAGCTGTATACGATATCAGAGAGGTAGTAGATTGGGGGTTATCACTTTGTGAGGGGTGTAAATGTGTAATAATTGTTTTGTACACCTGAAACTAATATAAAAATATATTTAAAAATTTTTTTAAATCAGTTATGCTCATCACTACTTTGGAATTAAGCCAGTTACTAGATCTACCATAGACTTTATTTAATATATTATACACTATCACACATATTACTGTTACATATACACATATTACTATACCATGTATTTGGTTGTTTTAATATTTTGATAACTTTCAATAGAAGTTGTTTCTTATGTATTTTATTTTATGCATTTATGAACATTCCAGCATTGCTATGGACTACTAAAGGGGATTGTGGCTCAAAAAAAAGGCTAAATCCCCCTTGTAGAGTACAGTCTTCTGGAAGTAGGAAGTTGGAGGTGGAAGAGGGAGGGGCAGGAAGGGAAGGAACTTTTCCTGAGAGGGCAGAGTGATGACTATCTGGGGAGGGGCCAAGAATAGGGCAGAGGTTATCTAGGGGTGTTTTGTGATTCTTCAGCTGAGGACAGGACAAAGGAAATCAAGTTGGCTTAGAAAAAGTGAGATAAAATTAGGAGCAACTTCCAGGTCTCAAGACAGTGGGAGCTAGGGTGCTCAAAGAAGGGGCATCTATGTGTCCTCTTGTGGGAGTGGTACTCAGGCTCAGTGTGACCAAGAAGCTGGGAGGATGCTGCTGGGGGCGGGGCAGTCTGGCAGCCCCAGCTTCCTGTTGCTACCCCCTGGGAACCTGGCCATGTTGCCCTTGGCCAGGGCCCAGCTTGAGCTGTGGCAGCCTGCTCCCAACGTCAAAGAATTAGTTAAAGGTAAAGGGTGCACACCCCCCAGCCCCCTTGCTGGGCCTTCCCCTATCCTATCCCACCACTACCACCTCCTCCCCCATCACATTGAGAAGTACCCTGGAGGCAGCTATGCCCCAGCCCCCACCAGGCCAGAAGAAGTGGAAGGAACAAGCTGTGATTTTTTTTTCTCTTTTAATTATTTTTATTATGAAATACACATTTTTTAGAATTAGTTTCAGCTGTACAACACAGTGCAATAGTTATACTTTTTACCCCTCAAAGTGACAACCCCCCTCCCCCCCAAGCTGTAATTTTTTACCCTCTTCCAGTTTCACTGGATCCCGAGATGGTTTAGGTTTCATATTGACTGTTTGTCCTTAGATGCTTCCTGTACCCAACTCCCCAGGGCAGAGAAGCCTGCAACAGCTTCCACGGAACAGCAGCCCTGTGGACAGATACTTCCACTACAGAGAAACAGAGACCTAAGACCTCCTCTTCCCGCCCCTACTCTCCCATGGGCTGCCCTTTGCTCCCTAGACCTCTGGCCCAGCTACTTGCACACTATGCACAGCAGCAGCCCCAGGAAACTGCATTGGCAGCCCAGTGAGCAGTCTCAGATGTCCGTTCTCAAGCCTGGCAGGCCCTCTGCACTCATGGGGGTCTTTGTTCCTTCGCCTCCACCCATTCAAAACTTGTCTCCAGTTGGCAATTCTCTCCATTGTGTGTTTCCAATGCTGACTTCACCACCCACCCAAACCCAAACTCTAGAGCTGCACCGATATGGTAGCCACATGTGGCCACTTCAATTTAAATTAATTAAATTAAAAATTCATTTCCTCAGTCATGCCAGCCACATTTCAAGTGCTCAATGGCCACCTGTGGCTAGCAGCTGCCATATTGCACAGTGCAGCTATAGAATATTTGCATCTGCACAGAAAGCCCTCTACAGTCACCATGTCTTGCCTAGGTCACTGCAAGAGGCTTCTACCCAATCTTCCTGACGCCAGTATCTTCCTCCTTGTGCAAAGTGGTGTTTCTAAAATGCAAATGTAATTTTGTTCCTCCCCAGTTTAAATCCCTGTGTGCTGCGTGCTCTCGCGCTCTCTCTCTCTCTCTCTCTCTCTCTCTCTCTCTCTCTCACACACACACACACACACACACACACACACACACACACACACACACACGCCTCTGTCCTGATGCCTGAGACACCCTGATCTCTGCCCTCTGCCCCTCCACCCCGCCTTGTCCCCTGCATTGGGTCCTCATAGACACTCTAACTCAGCTATAGGAAACTACCCCTGGCACTTGACCTTGGGAAGCAACACCCTAAGCTTCTTTTGAAAACCCAAGTTTGCGAACACAGAAATGATGACACTCACTGGCTTTTTCCCAAGTCACATTTCCTCTGTTTTTTTAACACACATCACGTTTCTTGTGAATCATGTTTCCTGTACATTTCTTTGCACCACAAGTGAACTGCCCATCTAGATTTTACGAAACTTTTCTTGAACTTAATGAGTAATTTTTTTAAAAGATTTTATTGGGGAACTGGGGGAGGGGAATAGACAAGTCGCTGTCTTTTTTTTTTTTTTCAAAGATTTTATTGGGGAATTGGAGGAGGGGAACAGTGTTGGGGAAGGGGACCAGCCAAGTTGTTGTTCTTCATTCTTTGTTGTGGAGGGCGCCAGTCGCCATCTGGCTTCCCGTTGGCAGCTCGTGACCTCTAAGCTCAAGGTGCTGTGTTCAATCTTAGTTGCGGGTGGGCATAGCCACCATCCCATGCAGGAGTCAAACCGGCAGCCTTGTTGTTGAGAGCGCACACTCTATCCACTGAGCCATCCAGAGGGCAGCTCAGCTCAAGGTGCCGAGGTCAGTCTTAGCTGCAGGTGGGCATAGCCAACATCCCATGCGGGTGTCAAACCGGCAGCCTTGTTGTTGAGAGCGCACACTCTGTCCACTGAGCCATCCGGAGGGCAGCTCAGCTCAAGGTGCCGAGTTCAGTCTTAGTTGCGAGTGGGCATAACCCACCATCGAACAGGCAATCTTGTTGTTACACCAGCTGAGCCATCCTGTTACCTGTTGGCAGCTCAGCGACAGCTCAGCTCAGGCACAGCGTCACTGGCCCATGTGGGAATCGAACCGGCGGCCCTGTTGCTCAGAGCTCGCGCTCTTAAGCCAATTCTTAACTAACTGACCCACTCGGCTGGCCCAAGTTGCTGTCTTTTTGTTCTTCAGTCTAGTTGTGGAGGACGTCGCTTCACTGGCCCATGTTGGTATTATCATTACGCTCTTCCCGAGTGAGGCAGTCATTCGCCGGGCCATTGGACGGGGGCTCACGGCGGCTGCCAGCCGCTCACGGTAGCTCGTGGCAGCCCACTGCACAAGGGGCTGCAGCCTACGCCGTCACCGGCGACTCACGGCAGCCCAACTCCAGGTTGAGCTGTTGTTCACCATGTTGGTATTATCATTGTGCTCGTCCTGGGTGAGGCAGTCGCTCACCGGCCATTGGATGACCGCTCACAGCAGCTCATGGAAGCTCACACCCGCTGCTGGCCAGCCCTACAGCAGCCCAGCTCCAGGTCAAGCTGTTGTTCATCATCTTAGCTATAGAGGGTGCGGCGTCACTGGCCCTCATGTGGGATCCAAACCAGGGCCCTGCTGCTCAGAGCTGGCGTCCCAAGCCAAATCCTAACCAACGCACCACTCGGCCAGCCCTTGATGAATAATTTTGGTGTTTGCAGAGTTTACAACAAGAATTTCAGGAACTGGTTTTTCTCCTTTCTGTGCAGAGAGCATGCTGAACATGTCCACAGCATGCATCTGGGTCCGGGCCAGATTGAACATTCTCTTTAGTTGATACATTATTTCCAGGAACCACTTCCTTTTTAGACCTTTTCCCTTTCTCTTCGCTTCTCCCTTGGGCACCATGAGTTGGCCTTTGTTTTGAGGCCTTGCCTTCCACATGTGCTCCCACAAGAGGAACAAAGTCACTCTGAATCATGGGAATAGAGAACCAGTTTCAGTGAGATGTACGTGCCCGGCATGAGCAAGGCTTCACCTGGGCCCCCTCCCTCCCAGTGTCAGCACCCCCTGCGTTCCCTCTCTGTCTGCACCTGCCCTGATAACAGGCGGGTTGCATGGTATTAGAATCATCTCAGGAAAAGGTCCCTCCACTTAATCTCGCCTCCTTCAAGATAGGACTTGTATCTTCATTTCGGTATCCCTAACACGGAAAATACTCTATTTGTTTGTTGAATGAAAGATGGAAGCTTTTCCTGCTTACTCCTGCCCACTCTTCTGTTCTCTGAAAGTACTAAACATTCTGAGCTGCTCATTGGATAGCCTCCTTTTTATGCAAATTGCCTATCTCCCAAACTAGATTCCAAGGCCCTTCAGGGCATGTCTCCCATTTATTTATAACCTCAGGACCTGGCACCCAACAGTGGGAGTTGTCAAGTATCCAAGCAGGTAAAGGCCCAGGGTTGCTGTTGGAAGAACAAACCTAAGAGCTGACTGACTGGCAGTGCTTTGCTTTGCTCTCCAGGGGGCTGTTGTGGTTCGGACTATAAACAGTACGTGTTTGGCGGCTGGGCCTGGGCATGGTGGTGTATCTCCGACACTCAAAGGTAAGGGCCTTGGGGCTTGGGAACCTGGCATCCTGGTGTGAAAGGGAGAAAAGGGTTTCTGTCTAGCCTTCCGCCCTTCACACCACAGGTCAGCTAGAGCATCTACCACCTGCCACATTTCACTCTGGAGTTGGGGGGCCTCCTAAGAAGCAGGCAAAATGGATTGCACAGGGATGCTGGAGGTCTGTCCATGGGCACCTCCTCAGTGGGTGTGCTTTTTTTCCACCGGAGGATCACTTCTGTCCCAGAGAATGCAGAGTCCTGCCCAGGCAGAATGCTAATGCCCTGATTCTAGTTATTCATGAAGCCTTAATTATACACCCTGTTTGGAGTGGGTTTGGGAGGGAAGAAAGTCTGAAGAGACCCCTTACATGCAACCTCATCTGTGCAGAACCTGGGACAACGCAGGCAGGGGTAAATAGCAGAGAATAACGTACAGTCTGAAGTGGCTCTGTGACAGCAGTGGGTTAGAGACAAGGGGTCAGGATATAAGGAATTGGTGCCAGGGCCAGGCAAGATAGGTCTGGACCTCCCAAATCAATCTGGAAAGACTAGAGGAAGAGATATTTCAGGTCCCCAGAGGGCCCACCATCAGGCTGTACTTGCTGGTTCCCCCAGGGCCCCTGGGAGGGCCAGACTTGGCCTGGACCTTTTCTGCCACCCACTCACTGCCCACCTAGCAGGAGATGAGGTATGCCAGCCACCTTTCCCCCATCTCCTCCTTCCTGACTATGGGAGAGCGGAGGAGGGGCCCAGATCCTTCCAGGCCAGGACCCAGGCAACAAGGGCAGCAGAACTGTGAAGGTGCAGGCATGTGGGGGGCAGAGAGTGTCATTCTGAAGGGGAAGTGATGGAGATTCCAGTGGAAATCCCCCTCCATCCCAGCCCCCCCAGCCAGCAGAGAGATGCCCCGTGGCTGCACTGAGCTGCTTGTACTTGGGGCTCCAGGGACTCTGAGGGCGTCAGCTAGGGTCAGGGGCATGGGAAGCCTGTCATGCTTTTTAACTCCACTGATTTCCCAGTAACCCCCTCCACTCTCCTATCTCTCCCCTCACTTTGCTCTGCCTGAGTGGAAGAATCCTGGGTGACTCTTCTGGCCCAAGGTCAAAAGTGTCAGAGAATAATCAGTGCTGGTCACAACCTCCTCTCAAAAGGCTCCTAGGCACTCCTGAGTGGGCCAGTCAGAAGACATGGGGTGCCCGCTCCAGAAACCCTGCCACCCCACCCCATATGCCATGCAATCCTGGGATGACAGAATATCTTGTCCAAACACCTCGACATACAGCCGGGCCTGGAGAGTTTGCAACTTGCCCAGAGGCCTGTCCTTCATGGACATCCACTGCTAGGGCGACAGCTCTTTCCACTGCAGCTCTTTCTCCACGTTCTTGGTGCCCCCCACCCACCCACCCACTTATTGCTCCAAGGAGCAGAGCCCCAAGACAGGGCCAAATTTCTCTGACAGCAGGTTTGGAAGTGAGGGGTGGAGAGCCTTGTATCTCATCCCAGAAAACTGATCTCACACACACAGGCTCAGCCTCCACCCCGAGGTCCCACTTGGCTGGGTGGCCTGAGTCTGTAGCCCCTCACTTTCTTGGACCCTGTTCTGGGGGTAGCCCTTTCCCTGACCCCTAGCCTGCTTGGGGGACATCTCCACAAGCTGAGGCCTTTATTGCGCTAGGCCAGCAGGAGCCTCTCAGGTCAGAGTAACGGCTTCTAACCCAGCCTGGATCCTCAGCCCCCCTTTCCAGGTACTTTCCACAGCCGTCCTACACGTCACCCACCCTCGGTGTCGCCATTCTGCTTCAGGCTCAGTGAAGTACCTCCTGCTGCACTTTTCTGCCACATCCTGTGCCATCACGAGGCCCTGATGATAGTGGGCAGCTCTCTCCTTACCTGAGCGATTCCTCCACCTCTGGCATCTGAGCTGCAGCCTGTCTTCCCTCCTTCCTTCCCTCCCTCTTTCCTATCTCCCTCTCTCCTCCTTCCCCAGAAGAGAGCTTGGTGGCCTTCTGTCTGAGCCAGGTCTAGAGTGCTCTCAGGCCCATGGTGCTAGTGGCTTGAACAAAGGCAGCCTTTACACATCTGCATGGCCGGAGCCCCCCCGAGCTGGCATGTGAGAGTTGAGGTGGGAGCTCCCCACTCCCCCAAACCACCTACTTCTGCTCCTCCAGGCTTAGTCTCTGTCCTCCCTTCCTCTGGTTCAAGGAAGCCTTCCATGCTGTCCACAGCGTGGCCTCTGCCTGGACCACTGCTCTGCACACACTCGCGCATGCACACTGCTCTAGGGAGACCCATCTAGGGTGGGCCATGCAGCTTCAAGGCACCTTCTTCTCTTTGCCATGACTCTCTTCTCTGCCTGTGCCCAACATTGGAAATTCCAAAGTGAATTGCTCTGTTATCGCCCAGTTGTCCTTGTGAATGTTCCGGCAAGACACACTTTCTCCCCCAGCCTTCCCTGAAACCCCCACCCCAGAATCAGAAAATATAACATTTTCTTTGGGCTCTTCTGGCCCTAAATTGCCTACTTAGTGATATGCAGTACAGACCTTAAAAGTGCATTGTACACCAAGCAGGATTCGGTATTTGCTGTGACTCATTAATCCCCAGAGTGGCCTCCCTCTCCCAATTTCTGGAAACATAGGTTTGCCTGTGTTTGTAGAGAGCTGAGGCTAAGTCTCCCAGATTTGCCAGAAATCTGGGAAAGAGAGGTGGTGAGCAACCCAGGTGCCCTGTGCACAGGCCTCCTGACCTTGGACCATAGGCCCAAGTCATCAATAGGCTTTTCCCCCCAGCCCTTCAGCTCCTCCGTGGAAGAATTTGGGGGCTAGAGAAGAGACCTAGAGACCTCAGGCCAGCAAGGGGGTGTCTCTGACCTCCTACAGCCTTAGGCTGAGCTGGCAGTGGGGGGCTGAAGTATGGAGAGCAACCCTGCCCCCAGGCATCAGGCATTGGTGCTTATCTGGTAACCACTGTATGTATTTGCTGTGTCCCCTCCTACCCTTTCCTGTCCCTACCTCTCCCTACCCCCTGGCTGCTCCTCAGACTGTCTCTGGAGGTTATGACCATCCTGTGTCGCTGTGAGAATATTGAGACGTCGGAGGGGGTCCCGCTATTCGTAACAGGGGTTGCACAGGTAATAACCCACCTGCTTCCTCCTCTGTATCTAACCTTCTCTTTTCCTGCCCTGTGGGGCCTGGCGAGCAGGAGACTGATGGACTCCCCTCCTAAAAGTGTGTGTGCCTCCCTCCTCTCTGCTCCCACCTCTGCTGCTCTGGGTGCCAGGATGGAACCCTATAGATCCCCAGCTCCCCTGCCCTCACCTGCTGGAACTGCTAGTGGGGAAAGAGTGAGGGATCCCGGGAGCTCTGCCCAAGTCAACCAGTGAGTGTCCTTGGATGCCAAGCCTAAATTGGGGGTAAGTTGAGGCAGGAGACATAGGCCCTTATGTGACACAGCTGGACTGTCTGGGTGGGAGTTCAGTCCTATCTACTGCTGAAGTCCTAGTCCTCCAGGTATAATGGAGCCCCTTCTCCAGGCTGACACTCCAGTGTCAAGTCCTACCCTCCTCCCTGCAAGACCAGAAGATGGGTCCCATGGGGAGTTCTGTCCACCCAGCCCCTTGGCCCCCTTCAATCTCCTTGACAGGCCTGAGCAAAAAGCGCCTTGGTCATTCCTGCCCCTAATTCTTTGTAGAGAGGCCTTTGAGCTGATCTCTTGTCACTAGACTTCAGTTTCCCCATCTGTGAAATAGAGAGAATCATGCCCTCTGTGCCTTGTAGGGATATTGGGAAGGCAAGTAAAATGATACGAGGGCACTTTGGGATTTTTGGAAAAGAAATCCTAGAGAAACCCTAGCTCTAGTATGACTGTGATCTCACTTTGAAAAGCAAGTGACCTGATGTCTCACTCTTCATTACCATGCAGCCATAGCTGATGAAATCCATTCCTAAGCCAGGGCATTTAGTGACTCCAAGCATTTTCTTTGTAAAGTGCAGGTTGCCACCTTCATTGCCTCATTCACCAGCCCTCTAATGAGCACCTTCTCAGTTCCAGGCACTGAACATCATCAAAAAGCTCCTGCCCCCTCAGAGCCCGCATGGTGGTGGGTCCCCAGGCTGGAAGAGACCTAATGGTCACCTTACCCATCCCCTTCCCACTGTATGAAATTGCCTGTCAGCCTTCTCAGGCAAACAGCTGCACCACTACTCCCTTCCTCAGCCATCCTGCCATCTCTACTCGGGAAGGGGACTGTCCCCATCTCATCCGCCCCTTGTAGCCTTCTTCAGCACAGAGGCCTGAGAAGCTCAGAGCACCTTGCATGGAATGGCCAGGGTCCTGGCCTCCCTCTACACCCCGTTTAAAGCAGCCACATACCTTCTCTAAACCCACTACTCTACTTGAAATAACTGCAATAACCCTTTTAAGCTGGGTGATGTGGACCCTTGAGGTCTCATATTGTCTGGGCAGAACAAGTCCTTCTAGGGTTAGTGTTCCTTGGCCAGGAAGCTCTAGCGTGGCCCCAGACCTCAGTCCCCACTTGACCACTTGGGGCTAACCCCAGAAAGTATGCTTCACATCATAGCCTGTTGCTATGATGTACCACCTTGGCTTACAGGGCTTCCCTGGCAAGAGGCAGATGCAGGATCACCTTGTCTTGGCCCAGCAGTGGGCATTCTCCCAGCCGGCCAAGCTACCAGGCAGAGCTCTGTTGGCAGCTTCCCGGGGCATCCCAGGGTGCTGAGCAGACCCGGGGAATGGGTGAGGGCTCCTGGGGGAGGTTCAGATGGCACCCATGGACAACCTACACAGCACAGCCCGGAGCACCAGCACTTACTTGCTGTCCCAAGATGTACACACAGCTGCACCTGGACTCTCCCCACCCCCCACCAGACCAGACCAGACCAGACCACCACAACTTCTCTGCTTCCTTTCCCAGTCTCCAAGCCAGGCTGATTTGAGCAGAGGACGTGTGTACACATTCATAGTACACTCCATTCCCTGAAGCCACCTACACCCACCCTGCCCTGCCTTCCCACCCATCTCCTCACACACTCCCCGCTGTGACCTCTTGGGGAGTCCTCCCCACCCTCTTCTGCAGCAGGACCCCTGGCCCGTCCCTGCCGGAGCAGGGACTCTTTCCCCACACCCCAGGCCCTGGGCCCCCAGACCCATGCCCCTGTTTTGCATTTCTTGGCAGGATTTCCCTAGAGATTATGACGTTGCAGCCCCGCTGCGAGGACGTAGAGACGGCCGAGGGGGTAGCTTTAACTGTGACGGGTGTCGCCCAGGTATAGTAACTCAGCAGCCCCACGCATGACCGTTGAGCTGCCTCGTCTGGTGCTGGGGTTTGGGGGAGGAGGAGAGGACAGCCAGGGGCAGTCTCTTCAGCGCCCCTGCCCCCGCCCCCCCCCCTTCCAAGAGAGGGTCATCGCCTCTGGAACATGCTCACTCGGCCCCTTGGCCACCCAGCAGGACTAACAGACATCCCTTCTCTCCTCAGCGGCCCCGCGAGGGACAGACCAGTGCTGAGGGCTCCTGTCTCACTAACCCCACCCATTCTTTGCAGGTGTTGGAAATGCCAATCCCCAGAATCCAAGCCTTCCCTGTTCCCTGAGTAGGGGTCTGGAGGGGTGGGGACCAGAAGGTGAGGCCATGTGAGGCAGAGCAGCTCCGGGCTCTGGAGTAGGAGGCTGCGTTATATTCCCAGCTTGATGACTGGGTGAAGGGTTCCTGCCCTAGTCCACCTCTCAACTTCACAGAGCAGAGAGAGTCAGCCATGTTATTGGCCTCTGGTGAGGGGGTTGTTGGCTTAGAACCTCGGAAAAGAAAGGCAAGAGGATGCCCACCCTCAGTGGCACCCCCTGGACCTGTCCCCTGCCCTGTCTAGGCTCTCTTTCTTAGTCTGTCTTTCTCTGTCCCTCTTGCTCATTGTTCTTTTTGCATTCTCTGCCCCTCAGTTTGCCAGTCTCCCGTCTGTGGGGAGCCTACAAGGGAGAAATTGGCTAACAGCAAGTGGGCTGGAGGGGTGGCGGGGGACAAACTCCACATGCCGAGGAAAGAGGCCATGTCCGGGCCTGAGGCTGCCAGTGAGGATGAGAATTCCTTGTCTGCTATCCCCACTAGAGGTCACAGACACACTCAGCCCCCACCCCCAGCCCCTAGGCCTCCAGGTCTGAAAAAGGAGGGGAGGGGCATAGCCACTATCCTCCATGCCTGGGGCTGGGGCCTCCATCTGCCTCGCTCCAGCCTGGTTCAGGCTCCTCTGTGACCACTGGCAGGTGAAGATCATGACGGAGAAAGAGCTCCTGGCAGTGGCGTGTGAGCAGTTCCTGGGCAAGAATGTGCAGGACATCAAGAACGTCGTCCTCCAGACCCTGGAGGGGCACCTGCGCTCCATCCTCGGTGAGACCCTTCCCAGTCCAGGGACCCCTCTGCTGCCTTCAAGGAGCCTCACAGAGTTCCCAAGCCAGGGCCAGGGAGGGGTGCAGGCTGGAGCAGGGGGTGTCTGTGAGGCCCACCGAGGTTTCTAGATGAAAAGCTGAAACATTTTCCCTTAAGTATCTCTTTTCAAAACTTCAGGTGACTTGAGTGAAGGGGAGGGCATTGGGGTGGGGGATGAGGCGCTGCCAGTCTGGTCAGGCACCTAGTGCTGCTTGGAACACATTTCTTCATCCAGCCTGGCGTCTACAGATGAGGGCTTGATGCTAAACACTAAGAAGAAACCAGGAAGACTCAAGTCAGACTGCACGACCCCTGTATCCACTCACATTTCCATTTGCATGCCTCCTCCGTATCTTAGCTGGTTGGGCCCCTGGGGAGCCAGCCCATGATACCTCTACCCCCAGGGACCCTGACCGTGGAGCAGATTTATCAAGACCGGGACCAGTTTGCCAAGCTGGTGCGGGAGGTGGCAGCCCCAGATGTCGGCCGCATGGGCATTGAGATCCTCAGCTTCACCATCAAGGTGTGGTGTGAAGGCAAGGCTGTAGCCCCCCTATGTCCATCTGGGAATGGGGGGGGCTTGGCAGGAGGGGCACCATTCCCAGGGATGACTTCCCTTTCCCTCCCCAGGACGTGTATGACAAAGTGGACTATCTGAGCTCCCTGGGCAAGACGCAGACCGCCGTAGTTCAGAGAGATGCAGACATCGGGGTGGCCGAGGCCGAGCGGGACGCAGGCATCCGGGTACGTGGGCAGTCATTCCCACCCCCAAGGACAGGGAGCTCAGGGGTGGTGGGACCGTGGCTGCTCAGAGGACCTGCAGCACCTGCCCTTTCTGCTCCCAGGAAGCCGAATGCAAGAAGGAGATGCTGGACGTGAAGTTCCTGGCAGACACCAAGATCGCCGACTCCAAGCGAGCCTTCGAGCTGCAAAAGTCAGCCTTCAGTGAGGAAGTCAACATCAAGGTGAGAAGCCGTAGGGTCCCCGAGTTGGGGCTCAGGGCTTAAGACTTGGTGGCCAGCCTCTGACATGCTGACCACACTTCTGCCACAGACAGCTGAGGCCCAGCTGGCCTATGAGCTACAAGGGGCCCGCGAGCAGCAGAAGATCCGGCAGGAAGAGATTGAGATTGAAATTGTGCAGCGTAAGAAGCAGATTGCAGTGGAGGCGCAGGAGATCCTGCGCACAGACAAGGAGCTCATTGCCACGGTGCGCCGCCCCGCGGAGGCTGAGGCCCACCGGATACAGCAGATAGCTGAGGGTGAAAAGTGAGTGCCGCAGGGTGCCAGGGGCTGGGGCATTAGTCAGGCTCCCCTGCCATGCGTGCACTCCCCGCACTGTCCTGACCACAGCTTGGAAGCCAGTTCTCCTCCATCTCTGCTTACTCGCTGTGAAGAACATGGGATTATGTTTAGGAAGACTGAATTAGATGAAAGTGATTCAAAGGCCTGGAGTGGTGCTTGGCACAGAGAGCATCCTGGTTAATCCCCTCTTTCATTTGCATCTGGAAGCCCATAGCCTCTCCCTGGCCAGAGCCAGAATGCCAGGGCACCCTCCTTCACAGGTCTCCCACCCCCGACACCTGCCAGAGCAGAGGGTTTGAGGGGTCTCTGGCACTTTCCACTGATCCTGCCTGGCCTGGACTCCCCCAGGGTGAAGCAGGTCCTCTTGGCTCATGCAGAGGCTGAGAAGATCCGCAGAATCGGCGAGGCAGAGGCGTCAGTCATCGAGGCGATGGGCAAGGCAGAGGCTGAGCGGATGACGCTCAAGGCTGAGGCCTACCAGAAATACGGGAACTCGGCCAAGATGGCCTTGGTGCTGGACGCCCTGCCCCAGGTGAGGCTCCCACCCTGGCTGGGACCAGCTGGGTATGTCCCAGGACTTCTCTGGGCCTTATCAGGAACACAGTAACAGGCTGGCTAGAAGGGTTAAATTGTTGAGTACTCAGCAGGGGGCAGGAACCCGGTAACAGGCTCATCCCTGGCCCACTGGCCCTCCTGACCATGGCTTGAAAATAAGGGCCACCCAGGCTGCTTTGGGGTTTGGGTGAGATGGACAAGGGAGGGAGAGATGGTGGACAGGGCAGGTGGACCAAGTCAGGGAACCAACCAAGCTCTCCTCCCTCCTTAGATTGCTGCCAAAATCGCTGCCCCACTGACCAAAGTCGATGAGATTGTGATCCTCAGCGGGGACAACAACAAGGTGACATCAGAAGTGAACCGACTGCTGGCCGAGCTGCCTGCCTCTGTGCACGCCCTTACAGGCGTGGACCTATCTAAGGTGTGTACCTTACCAGCTGAGGTGGGGTTGCCTGGGCAGCCCACTGGACTGACCCAGGCACTGCGGTTGTGGGCCCCAGAGCCACAGCCTCATGGCTCTCCCATCCTTGCAGATACCCCTGATCAAGAAGGCCACCGGTGCACAGGTGTGAGACTCCCGGAGGCCCAGACCCTTCAGCAGCCGCCTGCCCCTCCCTTCAGCACCGGTTTTAATACCACGGGGACAACGGGAACGTTACTGACTCTGGTGCCTTATTTTGTAGGGACCAGAAGTGCTGCGTGTTCAGGCCTTCTCTGGCTGTCTTCCCTTCTCTCTTGTCTCTGCCTCCTTCCTTTTCTTATCTCTACCCCGCACCCTTACTTTCACTGCCACATTCATCTGGTTTGTCTCTTCTACCCTCATCTTCCTGTACGTGTCTCTTCCTTTGTCTGTCTTTTTCTCTCCTGCTTTTTTCCCACCCACCCTCTACACTCATCATGTAGTTTAAGCTGAGATGTTTATTATAATAACTGTCTGAGGGGGGTGGCCCTGCTGCTCCTCAGAATCCTGGTGCCTTGAAGTTCTCTGTGTATCTGTCCTCCTCCCTGTGGCCCTGGCCAGAGTTCAGCATGGGTACAGGGGGCCTGAGTAGGATGGCCCCCTCCCCTCTCCCGGCCTGGCCTTCCCAGCCCTAAACCGTACCCTGGGAAGCCCCCAGCCCCACCCACTCCTGCCCCTCTAGGCCCAGGGCCCTTGCCCTTCACTTCACCCCTCCCCACCCCCAGGCCTGCTCTCATACCTTACCTCTTTCCCCTACCCCAGGGGCACAGAAGCAAGGCCTCTTGTCTATAGCAGCTCCCTCAGTTTACTACTGCCTTAGGAGGCCCCTGCTTGTGCTCAGGGAAGTCCCCTTCATGGACGTGTCCCTACTAGGTGGAGTGAGGCTTGGTCCCAACTCTGCTAAACCTTTCTGGGATCAGGGTCTAGCCCTGTTGGGGACTAGAAAGTCTGTAGACCCTCTTCCTGCTAGGGTTGTGCTGTCCTGGGTATTGGGCTGGACCCTTCAGTAGGCGAGGCTGTGCCAACCCTGTACATATCGAGTGCTGTAGACTGGCCAGACTCTATACCCCTTGTGCCATCTCTCTTCCTGGCCAGAGTGATAGGATTCCAGCAATGGGGAAGCAGCCCAATCCTCTGTCTCCTGCTCTAGTGGAGGCAGAAGAGCCCAGGGCCCAAGCATCCTGGCAGGGGTGCTGTGGGTGTCCTATGGTCCCAGTGCCCCACCCCTGGCCCTCGCCCTGCCCCAGCCTGTGTAGCTGTTCCTGCATGTGGATGCTGCATGTTTGGTCTGGGGCTTGGATGCTGCACTGCCCCACTGCCTGCCCCTTCCGGTAAAATAAAGATCTGTTATGCTATGCTCTGTATTGTATCTTCTGTGAGGGGAGAGACCGAACCCAGACCCAACCAGGTCTCCCTCCCGTACACCCCTTCAGCTTGAAGGTTACACTTTGCCTGTCCTTCCCCATCATAGCCACTGGGGGGCATCAGCACACTGGCCTTGACCCAAATTGCATCGTAGGGCAGGGCAGCCATTGGCCCAGCTGCTGAGGCCAGACCTGAGCCCTGGGAGACCTGACTCCATTGTAGGCAGAAGGTGGAGGGGGCTGCCAGGTTTCCTGCACCTCTGTGTTCATCCTGAGCCCCACTCAATAATGGAACCCACTTCTCAGGCTTAAGAGCATGAACTCAGGAATCAGACTGCTTGGGTTTAAATTTCAGCTCTATTGTCTATTACTTGTATAATCTTGAACAAGTAACTTCATCTTTCTGGGCTTCAGTATTCTTATTCATTTTACAAATGTATCTAATGCTTGCTATGTGCCAGGCATGGTCCTACAATAGATGGGACTGCAGTCAACAGAACAAATCCATAGCTTTTAGAGTTTACACTCAGGTCGGGGAAATAAAATAAGAAAAATTAAATAACATATACAGTATATTAGATAATGATGTGTACGAAGATAGAAAATAAAACTGAAAGGAATAGGAAGTTCTAGAGGATGTTGACATTTTAGGGTGTCAACGGAAAACCTAATTGAGAAGGTAAGCACTGAATAAAGGAAAGGAACGAACAGTGCAGATCGCTGAGGGAAGAGCCTCCCAACCAAAGACCCCAGGGTGGGAGTGTGTCTGGTATCCGAGACATCAAGGAGGTCAGTATGTTTAGAAGTGAGTCAGTGAATGAGCAGCGGGGAAAGTGGCAGTAGACGAGGTCAGGCTGGGAATGTAGAACCTTAATGGGGCATATCTTGGCCTTTACTCTGAGATGGGAAACAACTGAAGGGTTTTGAAGGAGAGGGTTATGGTCCGCTACATCTAAAAAGATCATCCGATGCACTGTGACAGTTTAAGGAAAAAAGGAAAACATTTTCCAAAAATGGTGCAGGAACAACTATTGAATCACAAACCCCTACCTCACTCCATATACAAAAACTAGTTGGCGATGTAACATAGACCTATTATAAAAATTCAAACCACAAAAACTTATAGAATAAGAGGGGAATATTTTTATGACCTTGGCATCGGCAAGATCGCTTAGGACAAAAACAAAAGACCGTAAAAGAAGAGATTGATAAATTGGACCATCAAAACGAGTCTGTTCATCAAAAGAAACTTAAGAAAATGAAAAGGCAAACACAGAAAAAATATTTACAATACATATACCTAACAAAGGCCTTGCATCCCATATACAAAAAGAGCTCTTGCAAATCAATAATAGCAAGATAACACAATAAATAACATCGCTCTGAACACCCTGCTGAGAATAGAAAGGAGGAGCAAGGGAGGCAGCAGGGAGACCAGTTGCATCTCACCAGTATTGCAATAATACAAGTGGAATATGAAGGCCACTTGGACCAACAGGGATGATGAGAAGCACCCAGATTCTGGATATATCTTGAACTCACCAGAGCTGCTGACATATTGGGTATGAGAGAAAAAAATGAAATAAAAAATACCTCCAACATACCATGTCCGTAAATTTGTATTGCAAAGATACCAATTCTCCCGAATTGGCCTATGGTTTCAATACAATTCCTATCAAAACCCCAAGGGATTTTTTTAATTGACATACTAATCCTGAAAGTTATAGGAAGATGCCAAAGGACCAAGAATAAGTAAGACAAACTTGAAAAAGAGTAGAGTTGGAGGATTTAAACGATATCAGATATCAAGACTTAAAGTTTTAGTCATTGAGACTGTGATTGATATTGGCAAACAGTAGACCAATGGAAAAGAATGGAGACTCCAAACATAAACCCACACTTGTTTTATGACAAAAGTGTCATGAAATACTCTGCATTTTTCTTTTTTAATATTTTATTGGGGAATTGGGGAAGAGGAACAGACAAGTTGCTGTACTTTTGTTCTTCAGTCTAGTTGTGGAGGGCGTCGCTTCACTAGCCCATGTTGGTATTATCATTGCACTCTTCCGGGGTGAGGCAGTTGCTCACCGGCCATTGGACAGCCACTCACGCTGGCTCCCAGCCACTCACGGTAGCTTATGGCAGCCCATTGCAGCAGGGGCTGCAGCCTACGCCTGGCCGGCAACTCCCGGCAGCCCAGCTCCAGGTCGAGCTGTTGTTCACCATCTTAGCTGTAGAGGGCAGTGTTACTGGCCCTCATGTGGGATCCGAATCAGGGCCTGCTGCTTAGAGCTGGCGTCCCAAGCCAGCTCTTAACCAACGTGCCACTCGGCCGGCCCCCAATAAAAATCTTTAAAAACAAAATAAAAATGGGCCGGCCGAGTGGCTCAGTTGGTTAAGAGCTCGCTCAAGAGTACGAGCTCTGAGTAACAGTGGTTCAAGTCCCAGCTCGAGCTGAGCTGCCGCTGAGCTGCCAACAGGTGGCAGGATGGCTCAGCTAAAAAATAAAAAATAAAGAAAGAAAATATATAAATAAATAAAAATAAAAAATAAATAAAGTCCAAAAAGCAGGTAAAGCTCATCTACAGCATTACAAGTCAGGACAGAAGTCACCTTTGGAGAGGAAGAGAGGTGTGACTGTGAGAAAAGACCCAGGAGGCTCCTGGGAATGTGTGGGAACGCGTTGGTCATGTCCTGTTTCTTCATCTGGGTGGTTGTTACATGGCTGTGTTTACGTTGTGATAATTCACTTGAATGTACGTTGTACATCAATAAAGAATAAACTGCCTCCAAGGCTTTTGGTGGCCTGGAAGAATGGAGTTGCTATTTACACACACGGGGAAAACAGTTGAAGGAGCAGAATTGAGGTGGGATCAGGACCTCAGTTTTGGACATGTTAAGTCTAAGGTG